CGCCCTCCGCGCCCTCCGCGCCCCCAGGGGCCGCCCCTCCGGCCGCCGCCTCCCCGCCCATCTCCCCGGCCCCCGCCTCCTCCTCGGGCTTCTACCGGGGCGCGTACCCGGCCCCCTCGGACTTCGGCGTGCACTGCAGCAGCCAGACCACCGTGCTGGACCTGGACACACACGTGGTGACCACGGTGGAAAACGGCTACTTGCACCAGGACTGCTGCGCCTCCGCCCACTGCCCCTGCTGTGGCCAGGGCGCTCCGGGACCGGGCCTGGCGTCCGCCGCCGCCGGGTGCAAGCGCAAGTATTACCCTGGCCAGGAGGAGGAGGACGACGAGGAGGAGGACGCGGGCGACTTGGGGGCCGAACCCCCCGGGGGCGCCCTGTTCGCCCCCTGCAAGCGCGCCCGCTTCGAGGACTTCTGCCCGGACTCGTCCCCGGACGCGTCTAACATCTCAAACTTGATCTCCATCTTTGGCTCGGGCTTCTCGGGGCTGGTGAGCCGACAGCCGGACTCGGAGCAGGCGCCGCCGCTCAACGGGCAGCTGTGCGCCAAGCAGGCGCTCGCCAGCCTCGGCGCCTGGACTCGAGCCATTGTCGCCTTCTAGGGACCCCCGAGGGCACGGGGCCCCGGGGCCCCGCGGGGCTAGGGCCAGACAAAGACTCGACCAAGGGGCGAGAAGAGGGAGCGAGCGGGCGCCCAGCCACTCGGACCTGAGCTGGGGGCGAGCAGGGGGAGGCGGGTGATGTTTTATAATTGTAAAATAAAGAAAAAGAAATATAAAATCTTGGACTTTATTTTTGCAGAGAGAAAAAGCGCCTATTTAAGTATGCTTTGTGTTTCTCCTACTCTTTTTTTTCCCCTCTTTTTATTGTAGTGATTGCAGTGGTGTTTAGCGAGGAGCCTGCCACGTGAGGGAGGGCTGCGGCCCGCAGGAGCTGCCGGGCGGCCGAGGGCGAGGCAGGGCGCGCGGGCCACCGGGGCGCAACGCAGGAGGGCGCGGAGCTGGGGACGCAGATTCCAATCAGTTGTCAGACGCGGGAAGCCCGACGTTCCGCTCTCCTGAGTCCCTCTGTGGGGTGAGGAATGAGTCTTGTGAAATCCTCAGCAAAAAACAAAGGCAAACTCTATCTCCAAAAGGGACGTTTGGGTCACATTTCCTCTCTGGGGGCGGCCTCCAAAGTTCTCCAAATGAGAAGGCAGAAATGAAAACACTTCAACTTTTTTTTTTCTTTTCTTCCCGGGGCGGGTGTTTTGAACCCCTTCTCTCCCCGCCCCTCTGGCTCCGCTCTCCTCCCATCCTCCACCAGTCTCCCGGATTCCGGGGTGGCGCCCGACACCCCGACACTCTGGACACTGTTTGGGGAAAGGGTGGGGGGCGAGCACAGAGGACTACATTTCCCATCATGCCCAGCACTGCGGTCCTCACTAAACAAAAAAGGAAGTCGATTCCTTCACCTGGATCCCCGGCGGCCCCGGGGGAGGGAGGGGCCGGGCCCGCCGACTGCGTCGGAGACTTCTCACTAAGTTCCTGGTCAGCTGTGATGTTTGTGTGTGTTTCTGAGTTGCACGGTCTCTGCTCAGCCTTCGGTTGCATTTCATGAAACCAGCATTGTTCGAGTCTGTGAGAACCCTGTCCTGTGATCTTCAGCTCCATAGATTTTAATTTAAAAGCCTTTTGTTGTAAAAAGCTGGGGGTTCATCTGCAGCCCCTCTCGCACCATGCGGACTCCAAGACAGGTTGCCAGTTACCTTCCTCTGCCCTTCTCCCCCGTTCTCCTGTATTTTGTGCATACTGGATTGTGTATCACCGGATAAAACTGTTCAGATGATTTGTTTAAATTTATAATCTTAATAAAAAGTCGATTGTAGAGTACGGTGGTGCCTAGTTTTCAGATGGGCCTGGGGGGAGGCGGGAGGGACCTGCCCACATCCGCAAGGCCGGGGTGGGAACGGGGAGGGGGAGGAGGGATGTTGGTGCTGGGGACGGAGCCGGGGCTGCGCGCGCCTCCGGGTCCCCCTCCTTCGCCCGCCCGCGGGTCCTGCCCCCTATGGGAACCGGCCGCCCCGGGGTCTCCAGCTGGAAGCCGCGCCAGCCTCATCCCACTCGCTCCCCGCGCAGCCAGGGGCGCAGGGCCTGCTCAGCCTCGAGTCTGAGCTCCCTGCAGCCGGGGGGCTCCCGGGCCACCCACACTCCCCGCCCCGCGCCTCCGCCCGCACGTCCGCACATCTCGGGCTGTAACTTGAGGAAGTTTTTTCCTTTCCTTTTTTTCTTTTTCTTTCTTTTTTTTTTTTTTTTTAAGTTGAGTTTGTTATCACTACTCGGTGCCACTTGGTGGTGTGCTGGCGGCGTCTCCCTCCCTCCTCGCGCCCTCCCCTCCGCTCCCTCGGCTCCCGCCTCCCCGCCCTCCCCAGGATGGAGGCAGGAAGGCTCCGGGCGCGCTCTGACCACCTACGGAATGACCTCAGAGCGGGAGAATGTGCCAAGGCCCGGGGGAAGCTCGCGTGCTCCCCGCTGCAACCCAGCGCACATCTGGAGCCGCGGCTGGGCCCGGGGGCGCGCGAGCGGTTCCAGCTCTGCGAGGAGGGGATGGTAAAGAAAAGAACCGGGAGGAGAGGGGTGCTGGAAAATAAGGCAAGCGGCTGCCTGCTTGCTCTGTGTCTGATGAGGGTCTCTCGGTATCTCTCCATCTCTGGCTGTCTCCCCAAAGCTCCATGGTCATTAGAGAGATTGGCCTGTAGTCTTTTTTTTTTTTTTTTTTCCTTCGGTTGGGTCCTTCTCTGGTTTTGGTATCAGGGCCATGTCCCCAAAGCTCTAGCCCCCGCTTTCCAAGCGGACCCCCCAGCCACACGGCAGGACGGCTCAGCCCCCACCCCAGCCTTCGAGCCTCCCGCCGCGGGGAAGCGGCTGCCGACCGACGCCCCCGCCCTGACTCGGAGAGGCGAGCCCCCGGGGGCCACTCAGCTCCAGAGCCCAGTGTCCCGCGTGGCGAAGTTCTGGGGACACTCCAGGAAGCGGGGGGCCACGCAGGGCCGCGACGCAGGTGGGGGAAGAGGGAGAATCTGGAGGCGTGCGCTACGGGGAGGAAAGGCACCTTCATCGCCACCTCCCCCGGGGCTGTTTTCTCGGCCTCCCACGGGAAGAGTCTGGAGCTGTTGAGGAGGGGGAACAGTGCGTGTCCCCCCTCCCCATTTCTCTCCCTGCAAGTCCAAGGAAATAGCTGCCGGCTGCTCCGTGGTGGTTGCCTCCGCCAAGCCAATTGCCAGAGCTCCCCCTAGCGCCGCTTCGAGGGCGCTGCTGCGGCTGAGGATGGGAGTGGGCGAGGCCGGCCGGGGGCGGCTGCGCAGCGGGGCGCGGGGGTGGGGGGCGGCTGTGCGCACACGGGGCAGCACCGCGTCCTTCCCAGCCCTGGCGGGAGTGGGGCCCGGAAAGCCGCGAGCGTCTCCGATCCACGTCCGCGCCAAGGCGGGCACGTGGTCTGTCGCCTTTGTTGGGAACGCAGGGCTGGTCACCGGAAGGGACGGACCAGGGGGCTTAGGAAGCCCGCAACCGGTCCCCTGGGATCTCCAGAGAGGAGGTGTGTAGGTGGGTGTCGGGGTGCGAAGTTGGAGCTCTGAAATCAGCAGGACCCCAACCTAAGGCACCCCTCCCCACAGCCTGGTTTCCAGAGCTCCAGCTCACAACGCATGGAGCGCAGTGAGACCTAGTGACCCCGGAGACCAGGGGGGGAAAGGTCCCCTCCTCTGTTAAAGGCCGAGGGACGTGGGGCAGTAACACAGAGTGTTAATGCCCAAAGTACCATAGCGTAACCCAAAACACCAGGCACCAGGTAATGTCCACAGAACGCTAGTACATGCACACAAAGCGGCCCTGGACAGCACATAGCCACCGGCCCGGGCATCCTCCTCCTCGCCTCACAACCCCAACGCCGAGCACCCTGAGAGACTTCGGGAAACGCTGCCCGGCCATGAGCGTCCCGGGAAGGGGAGTGCAGACAGACAGGCAGACCAAGCCCATGTCCACACGCAAGCCCCTTTGCCTCCAGAAAAAGACCAAGAGATCACACAAGAGGCCCCAGACAGCATTTGGGGGTGCTGCCTGGGGAGATAAGGGGGTTGGAAGAGATTTGGGTGCCCCAGAGAGTGAGGAGGGGGAGCTTCCAGAGAACAGCAGCTTTAAAGGTGAGCAGGCCTCCAGGTAGCCTCTCCCCACCCCCGGGACACCGCAGGCTCTGCTGCCCTTGAGGAGTGGGTCAGTCAGGCCCTGAGCCTGACTCCACGCTGCGCTCCCAGAAGGAGGAACCCCTGGGCTCAGAGCCAGAGCCCGGGAGATTGGCCGGCTGCCCGCCAGAGATAGGGGGTGCTGGGGTACCCGGGCTCCCACAGGGCCACTGCTCAGGGCTCTGAGACCAGGGCTGTGCATGTACGCGCATTAGAGGAAGAGCCCAAGCATGCACGCAAGCACGTGTCTCTGGCACAGGCATGCACACCCAGAGCCGGGTCTTTCTGTCCCTCCATTCACCAGGCGCACGCTGACAAAGCACCCCCTCAGTGCCTGGCCTATGCCCATCAGAAAGCTGACCACCACCAGCATAAATGGCAGACAGCGAGAACAGTAAGCACCTCTGTGATTGGCCAAGGTAGATGCTGTTAACATCTTCAGTTTAGAAATGAGAATATTTAGGGCTGGGCATGGTGACACACGCCTGCAGTCCCAGGTATTCAGGAGGCTGAGGCAGGAGGATTGCATGAACCCAGGAGTTTAAGGTCAGCCTGGGCAACATAGGCATCGCCCATCTCCAACACTCAAAAATATGAACCAAGAAATGATAGTTTGCCCAGCATCACACCATTAAGTGGCCGGCTGGACTCCACCTGCTGCCACTCACAGTCTCGTGAGAAAGAATCTGTAACATTATTATGCAGGCGGCCCCAGGAAGTGGGGTCTGTCCTGCCGACCGACCCATCCAGGTCAGGGACTGACGTATGTGGCAAGGGACAGGAGCATGCCTGGCACCAGTGGGGCAAAAGGTGGGACTCCTTGGCTCTTGCACTAAACCGTGTTTCTAGCTTCAGGTATGGCTGGATCCAGGCGCAGATCTACAGGGTGCTCTCTCTCTGTCCCTGACTTTCTTCTCCACATCTGCCCCTCACTCTCTGACCACATGCTAGCTTTGAGCTACCTGTGTAGGTGGCGGCTCTGGCCTCTCCACTCCCAGCTTTGCCATCCAAGAGGAACTGGCCTCTTCCCTGATTGCTAACTCAGAAAATCCCAGAATACGGTTGGGTCCCAAACCTGGTCTTGTTCCAAACCTGAGGCCAGGCCTAAGGTAGTTGGTAGCCCCCACTGGAAGCTCTCAGGCAGAGAAAAGTGCCACTTATCACACCCCAGCAGGTAGGGCCTGGGGATATCTGAGATGCAGGTAACACAATCTGTCTACTTGTCCAGATAAAAAAAGCTGCCTGCCAGGCATAGTGCATGCCTGTGATCCTAGCACTCAGGAGGCTGAGGCAGGAGGATCACTCTGAGTTTGAGGCCAGTCTGGGCTACATAGTGAGTTCAAGACCAGCCTGGAATACAAGCGAGACTCTGCCTCAAAAAAAAACAAAAACAAAAAACCCAGAATTGCCCCTCCTGCACCCTGCTTTTTGGGGTGGTGCTTTTGTGGGTTGGTTTCTGGTGTTGGGATGGAACCCAGGGTCTCAGGCAGGCTTAGGCCGGTGCTCTGCCTCTGAGCTGCAATCCCCTCTATATCTTGTTCTTGTTAAAAAGAACCAGTCAGAAACCCAGGCTGGGGGCATGGCTCAATAGTAGAGCCCCCACCAGCCCGGCTTGTCTGCAGCCCTGGCTTTGAGGCCCAGCACCACAAAGGAAACAAAACACAAGCTCATCCCAGGGACCCAGCCTGGCCACGCCCCTCTGTGAGCCCAGTCCCAGCCTACCCATCCTCGCCACAGAAGGATTTGCCAGGGCTGCTGGGGAACCCGGTGAAGAGGGAGCAAGAGGCCCACGTGCCCAGAGTGTTCTCAGCCACTGGGGCAGAAACTAAGGAGGAAGAGGCCGAGCTCAGCAGAAAAGGCACCGGCCCGGCCTCCAGAGAGCCCAGCTCAGGTCCTGACTCAGGCCTCAACTTCCTGGGGCCAGGGCTGAGTCACTTCCCTGATCCCTCATCTGCGCAGCTAGCGCCAGAGGAGAGGAGTACTGTCCTGGGCCAGCTGCTGTTCTCCCAGGGTCAGGACTGCGCCACCAGGGGCTGGGAGTGCAGCTCCCATGGCACAGTGCTCACCCAGGTGGGAGGTGCCGAACAAGAGAAAAGGGAAAGAAAAAAGCAGCCGTGGCTTCCAGCGCTCTGATGATCTGAGGCCCTGTGTTCAACCAGAGTAAGAAAAGCACAGGTAGCCCGGCATGGTGGCGCACGCCTGTAATCCCAGCACTTGGGAGGCTGAGGCAGGAGGATCATTGCAAGTTTGAGGCCAGCCTGGGCTACAAAGTGAGCTCAAGGCCAGCCTGAACGACATAGCCAGACCCTGTCTCAAAAAGACAAAAAAAAATTTAAAAAGAGAAAGAAAAGCACAGGTAATGGTAGCAAATTCCACAGCTACCTGTAAGCATGACATCTGTCTGTTCACCCCAGCACTCAGGAGATGGAGGCAGGAGGATCACTGCCAGTTCCAGGCCAGCCTGGGCTCCATACAGAGTTCAAGGTCAGCCTGAACTACATAGGGAGACTCTGTCTCAAAAACAAACAAAAAAGGAGCTGGGGATTTAGCTCAGCAGCACAGTGCCTGCCTGGCAAGTGCAAAGTCATGAGTTCAATTCCTGGTACCAGAAAAAACAACCAAAAAAAACCCACAAAAAAGACAAAAAAAAAAACA